CATAATGTGTAATTTAAGTCTCATTTATTTATCTATAAAATTTATATAGACTTGACACTATACAGGAGAAGTATAATAATTTAAGTGTACCCAGAGAAATATAAAATTTGGAGCATATTACATTGGGAAAATCTGCAGAAATGATCATGTGTGCATGCCAGTTCAGTGGTGTTTTGATCAAGATTTTAAGCAGCATGGTTACAAATATGTCTATAATATGTTAAGATTAGTCTACACAAGCTAGAAATTAACTCCTGCTGCATGCAAAATATTGCCTTCTGAAGGAAGTATATTTAAGATCAGAAAGTCAGAGATATTCATTCATTGCTATACTACGAAGCCCCATTGCTTGGGTAAATTCCCTTTCTGTTCTTCAAGAGGGTAATGCTTTCTGTGTTGAAAGCTGAAACCAAACAAACCATAAGAGGAGCCCTGGTAGTGCAGTGGTTAGAAGCCAGTACTGCAGGCTAACTCTGCCCACAGCCAGGACTTTGATCCTGACCGGCTCAAGGTTGGCTTAGCCTTCCATCCTTCCATAGTAAAATGAGGATCCAGATTATTGGAGACAATATGCTGATATTTGTAGACTGCTCAGACACTGCTGTAAAACACTATGAAGTAGTATATAAGTCTAAGTGCTATTGCTATGAATGCAATATAGACTGTTCTGTCAGACTAGTCATTATGGTTTATAAACTCTACTTTATGGCAGTTCTTCCTAATTTGGATGCTTTCCTAACGTTTGGATACAAATTCTGAGAATTCTTCTGCTAGTGTTGATGTTGCTGAAACCTGTGGAAATTTGGGTCTATTTTTAGAGTGTATGGTTTATGGCCTAGCATTGTAACTGAACAATGGTGTAGCTTATTCAGCCAACCATGCTTAAGTCTGACTGAACTGATTGAATCAGGATCCAACACTACATTCCATTGTGTATTATAGAAAGACTGCAATACAAGTTTAGATTTCTCAGACTGTAATTTCTCGATTCTGAAAGCTATTCACATATTTTACTTCAAATATACCAGCATAATATATTTTAGAAAAGTTAGAAAGGAAGGTATAACAAAAATGATGTATGATATGCAACAAGATAAAGCTGTTTCAAAAGAGGGGTCATTAAGTGTTTCGATAATTTTTCAGTTTCAAAAAGTTATTGGGGTAGGTACAGGTGAGACCGTCATTACAAAGCAATATTTCTCAATCTCAGCAACTTTAAGATCTGTGGTCTTCAATTCCCAGAATTCTGAGAGTCAAAGTCCATACATCTTAAAATTGCTGAGGTTGATAAACACTGTCATAAAGGATACATTTGAATTTTTTTCCATTTCCCAGTAAGAGATGGCACTGTAGTATAGAGGCATAGATTCATTTATTTTAAGTATGAATTTACACTCTTTTATATGCTAAGCAGTATCACAAGTCATGCAATCACAATACTATTTGTGTTAAGAGAAACAAGGTCAAAAAAGGGCATTATATTAGAACTTGTGTGTTTATGGGAAATGTTAAGGTGGGTTTTTTTTTTTAATCCAGTCAGACATTCTGCATTTTTGCATCCATACCCTTGTCTGTTTTGTTTTGTTTTTTTGCTTGGTTGCACATTTTCAAAAGGTTAGTGAGCTTGTCAGTTAACTGAATGCTTTGTGGCACGTGAACCTGTCTGGATGGAAAGCCTGTGGCAAACCAATCATAAATTTCGGAGCCCTACAGAAATTTTCTTCTAGGATAAACTTGGTTGAAGATGTCATGAAAACAAAAACGGGTGCAGATATAGTATCTATAATTTTGGGTTATAGCTAGTCATTCTGCCTAGTCATTTTATTTTCAGTTTCAAGTCTGTTCTATTATTTTTTTGCTTGAGAAGTAAACATTGAAATGCCCATGTGTAGAGATATAATATCTAAGGACAGCTTTTACCATAAATAGACAACATCTTTTCATTTTCCATTGCTGATATTATAAAGTTGAAGAGATTATTTTATTTTTAAGAACACTTCACATTATTACTTTAGATTACAGCTGTTCAGATAAATATTCCTACCATTAATTCCCCTGTATTGCAGATTGGTAGAATATGCAAAGACAGATTTCCTTCCTGTTAGCTACTTTTGGCAATGGGTCTTTAAAACCCATCGTGTTTGTTTTTAATGGTGTGCTTCTCTGGAGGTTGCAGTGACCTACTTTGCTCCCAAATTGTGTCAGGCTGATGCATGAATACAATTCTTTCTCAGAAGTCTTCATGAACAAAGAGCAAGTAGCTTGCCTGGTAGCTACCATAGTAGTTTCAGGGCCAAAAAGGTGAAGAAGAGAATTAGCTATTTATCCTAATGAGGAGACTGTAAGCAGCCCCCTGGTAGTTTTCAGGTTAAGACTTTTGTCTATAATACTGTGTGCCTGGATCTAGGGTGGGTGGGTCAGAGTTTATCCTTTTTAATGGAAAGCTCAGAGGCCCTCATTTATATTGATAAAGGTGTTTCCTTGTCAGGAGCTCAAATGTTGGAAGGTGGAGGAAGTGATGCATTAGTCCTTAAGCTGAACAGGCAGTGAATCTGTGTGCTGTCTGATGATACATCCTAGGTTATAAAAGGTTCTATTGGGACATGGTATGCAAGGTTTTTTTAAAAATTATTTTTATTTGTACATTCACCTTTTTTTTGTCTTCATTGATTTGTTTACCTCTTTTATGTTCTGTCCTAGTAACTGGCAGAAAAAACAAAGATTTTTATTCTGGGAATGTTCCTGGTCCTGCACTGCCCACCCAACTCATGTCAGATAGACAAACAGGGCATAACTAGTTTTGCTGCTTCACTATTCTGTCACATAGACCTTGTTTTACAGAAGGAATCCTCCTTGGAACATAATTCTTTCATCTGATGCCCGTAGAGATACTTAAGATTTAGAAATATATATATATCTTTCAGTTGCAAGGATTGCGTAGTGCTTCAGCTGTGATCTCGGAAAGACATTTTGGAGTATATGGGAGTGTAAACTTTGTGCCTGTCTGCAATTCAAAGCAGCTACCTCTTTACCCTGGATCAATGTTTTAAAGCAGTATTTCTCAACTCAGCAACTTTAAGGTATCTGGACTCCAACTCTCAGAATTCCTCATCTGATTGGGGAAGTCTGAGAATTGAAGTCCACATGACCTAAAGATGCTGAGATTGAGAAACTGTTTTAAAGTAAAGCATACTTGGCATATTCTTGCCTTGTTCGTATGTTCGTACCCCTATATAGTCTGAAGTATATTTTGGAGATCAAATCTAAGTATTGCACAGCATTAACATTTAATAGGCAGAAAATATTCAGGGTGTCATTAGGAAAGAAAAGAAAAAGGGAGGTGGGGGTGAGTGGAACGACATAAATTATAAATTTATAAATTTATATTATAAATGTCACATAATCGAGAGAAGAGTATGGCTAGCTCTCTAAAATTTAGAACAAGAGCTCTTCGTGTAGAAGGGTCCTCTAAAAACTAGTCTTATATAAATCATGTACCATATGTTACCATTTGCCATAAAAATATTTCACTGCCAGAAAAGATTGAGAAGGAGATAAAGACTAGCAGTTTCCCCGTCAAAAAGAAAATGTTTCTATGCAACCCAGAAAAAAATGATCATTACAGTAAATGCATCACATAATCTTGCTGCCTGTGCAAGATTAAAAAAGAAAAGAAAAAAAAAAGAAATCCCTTTGAGCCACCAGGTGACTGACCAATCCCAACCGTTTCCAGGCCAAAAAAAGCTTTTATTTTATGGAGTATGTAATTCAGAACTTGACCCAGATTCAGTTCCACTTGCACTATTGGAACTAACAACAGGGAGTGCAGTATGCATACTGGATCTGGAATTGGAACTGCTTATGTGGCATCCTTTTCACAAAGGATGACCCAGAATTAGCTCACTGGATGGTGATACAAATCTGGGACCCATATTGAAACCATCAAGCTTTCTGCCATAGGATTGTTTGGGTCAAGAAAGGTGTATTCCAAATAGCTGATCCTTTGAGAGAGACTGCTGCTGTGGTGAGCTATGAGACAGCTCTCTTTGCTCTAGTGTACATTTCTGGTGTGATGTGCTCTGCCTTTCCACACTAAATCTTTTTGTCCCTGGATCTTTCCTTCACGGTCATTAACATCTCCCTGAGCTTGACCTATTTGAAAACTAAGCAGGAGCAGCATTAAAAAGTATGTGAATAGGAAACCTAGTCTAGACTGGGAAGACTAAGCAAAACATCCTGGAAGAAGACGAGAACAAATGGCTTCCATACTCTTGTCAAGATGAGTGTATGGATGTGTCTGCAAAGCCACCAGAAGTTTAGCTGGACTTAAAGGAGGCTTGACTTTGCTTGACTAGAAATGAAATATCCCTGTAACACCAGGACTTCAGCAGAATACCCATTCATTTCTCCATTTTATGATATTGTATAGTATTTATAGCTCTGTAAATTGTGTTCAATTATTCAGGCCAATCCATAATTTTCAAAGACCAACTAGAGCACTGGTGTCAAACTCGCCGCATCACGTGACGTGTTGCGACATATCGCAACTTTTTTTTTTTTTGCATTGCCGGAGCTGGGGTGGGCACGGCCTTTGCATGATGCAACCAGCCCGCGGACTGGCAGTTTGACACCCCTGAACTAGAGTTAAAATCACAAATACAAACTAATATCATCTAATAGTACTTTATACCTCTAAAAACCTCTAAAAATTAAAGCAATTAGTTTGTGTGGGATCCCTTCAGATACCAAATGACATGCCCTCTTGATATGTAATCAGATTATATTGATGTTCAGAGTAGTGAAGAAGGTAGAACTGTGGTGATGTTGAAGAAAAAATTGTAATGTAGGGTGAAGTCTGTAGTGAGGTAAGTATTTGATTTCTAAGTTTTGTGGTAGAATGCTACATAACTAGATACATATGAAACAACTTACTTTCTTATTTAATATAAATGGATTAGCTTAAACTTAGATGCTAACAAGCCTTTGAAAAGTCTGTTCTTTTTTTCCTTCAGATATGTAATATCCTTTCCCCTCTTCATAGTGAGCCAGCAGATGGGATTTAAATGCTACACCATGGGATAGGTATTTTACAAAGACTGGTTGTGAGCAGTCCTCACAGGATCAAGTTGGTGGTGAGTGCTGGCAGGAACAGGTCCAAAACTGTCTATTGATCTTCCTAATATAACCAGGAGCTTCTAGTATTGCAATAGCTCTGCTTTTTCTCTGCTGCTGTGATAATGATGAGGGAATCATCTTCTTGTAAAGTGCTGAGTTCCTGGCTGCTGATGTAGGCCTCTTATAAGTAGCATTTTGCACATAGAATGCTCAAATCAGCAGGAATTGGATTTAAGGAAAGAGCTTTGCTCAGTTCTTCCTTTTGCTCTGTCCTGAAAATCTTTGGGACACATTCTGGACTTGGAATTGTTTTAGCGGAGCTTCAGTACAAGGGAGGGGTTGATGGAAATGACCTCCCTCTTTCTGCAATGGAGAGTCTCCATTGGATTAAGGAGCACCTTTTAATTGCAGGTGACAATTGAATATCCAAGCTAATGTCTTCTGTTCATATGTGGTGGATTATATCAATAATGCAACATGATAGTCTAAATTTCCATAACCGTCCTAAGGACTAATCTTTCAGACACAGCAGTAGTATCAGATAAAGCATTTTTTTAAAAGGAGAACTGCAAAGAAATGAATGGAAAAACAGTGAGCTCCTCATAAACATATAACTTGGTTATATTAAAAAAATGTTTTCAGGATGGTATATCTAATCATCTGTGAACTAGTTATGCCAGTCACTTATACATTGAATAAGAATTTAATTTTTAGCCAGAATTTTTTTATCAAATAGAAAGCTTCATATATCAATGGAAACTATTATAACTTAACCCATTGCTTGAAAAATTCTTAAGGAGATTAAATACCTTAGCAATTGCCATTTTATATGTCATAATCCTAAAAACGGGAGCTGTACTATCAACAACAACAACTATCAAGAGCCAAAAAATAAACTTTATGTAACTGATCAGTCTAAGGCATAAATGTAGAGTAAGCAGATGTCAAAACAAAACTATGTATGGACATTTAATAGGATGTGACATTCATTGGCTTCCATACAGAACAGTAAAATAATTCCACAAATGCCCCTTAATAGCATAACATATTTAATAGCTTTTTTCCCCAAAAATGCTTGTTCTTTCCATACGCAGATTACTTTTACTGTTAAAGTTAAAAGGTACACTAGTGATAGAGAAAGTAGCAAACTACTTCCTTACTGCTTTCCAATATAGGTATATGTAGAGACATGTTCCTGATGTCATCAAGAATCAAACTCAACTATAGGGAGACTTACTATTTCCACTGTTATTTAGTTAGAGGAGAACTGGATCTATCTACTGAATGCCACTGCTGGTTATGTTGGCTGGGAATTATGGGAGTTGATAAGATGAACCACAGAGTGGAACTTCAAATTCTTGTTCTTAGGGTGCCACTGGAAATGGAAATAGGGAGCATATGGCTAAAGAGAATAATATTTTGGTGGAAAGTGATCCTGGGGATTGCCCTTTATCCAACCCTGGCTAGTAACAGGGTTTATGTGCTTTATATTGAAAACACACGTAAAAAGGACTATGTCTATATTCACTAACAAACTATGCCTATAGTGTTGTGAATGCTATCTGATCAGTTTAGATTTCATTGTACTGTGGAAATTGGGTTAATTGATTAAACCAAAATTAAAGTAAACACAGCTAAATGTGTTAGCTATCTACAACTGAGAGAAACTATTGACTTTTCACATAAAGGTAGCTTCAAAGCAAAGGGGATTTCTTTTCCCCAAGAAACAAATCTGTGAAATAATCTTGGTGGTCTAAGTGATTATGATTGGCCCAAAATCACTCAAGAGAGCTTCTGTGGTTACAAAATGTCAGTCATTTGAGATTTAGCAAATCAGGAAACAGACCCTTCAAGATGACTAAAACCATCTCAGAATAATTTATTCAAGATCATCTCTGTGGCTTCCAGTACCAGGAGACTAGAACCTCATTATTTCCAAACACTAAATCACTTCACCATGTTCAAACTTTGGTTCAGATTTGTGTTTTATTTCTTAGATTAGAAAGGTTAGTAGCTGTTTACTAGCTAGTTAGCAGAAAATTATAGCTCAGAAAGGATTTCTTTGAGTTAACAAATATCGTTTTCCAGCTAACAATTCAAAACTATTTAATTTTAGTCATGTCACTTTAATTACATCAATCCACATTCCATGATCTCATAATCCTTAGCATGACTTATTTATTCGATTATTATCTCATCTTTCCGCCAGGAGCAGAAGGTGGTATTGTTAACTCTCTTCCTTCCAATTTATTTCTACAACCACCATCTTCTGGAGTGGATTGGGCTCGGAAAGAACAAATGTTTCTCCAGTCTTATTCTAGCACTTTAATCACTGATTGGCTCATAATATATAAACAGCAAAAATACATTGCCAAACTCACACAGTCATTGTCACTTTTCGCTGCATGTTGTTTTAAGAATTTGTTTGAATTTTTGAAGCTCCTCCTTTCTTGCTCTCCTTGCCAGGGGTATCAAACTGCCGGCCCGTGGGCCGGTTTCATCATACTGAAGCCGCGCCCACCCCATTGCCGGCAATGCAAAAAGAGTCGTGATATGTCACGACGAGTTTGACACCCGTGCCTTAGATTGTTCTAAATATTGAACACCAGGTGTAGATTTTTGCCCCAGTGTGTGTCAATTTTTGACTGATACAAATGCAGTGCTCCATCAGGGGAACTGCCTACAATTCATTGCATATTTGCTTATGGTACTCTGGGATCTGCTTTTGCAAAAAAAAAAATCTACATGAGAGCATAAAATTCATTACAAAATGAAAATGCAGAAGGCAGTATGGTGTGGCAAGCGCTACAAGATAATCAGGCATTGTTCACTGTTGTATGAAATTTAGGACTACTGCCCATCATTGGATATCCCTGTGTAATTTCCCAATAGGGCTTTGAGTCCAGAAAAGAAGGGAAAAAGAAAGAAAAGGCGTTGACTCCTGACTCTCTTTGGTGCAGTAAAATAAGATAGTAACATCAAACCTCAACTTTTTACTTTACATAGTAGTATAAACTACCCATTTCTATATCAACAAATGTATCTAATCGTAAAACCCAAAATCAAAGTTTCATTTTTTTTCCACCTCAAGCACAAAGTCCAGAAGCGGTTTCCAAGTAGAAACAAAAATACTTATTTTTTTTCTTTTATCAAAATAGTCCATTTAGCCATCTCTGCTAACTCCATCAACTTTTGCAGCTATTCGTCCATTGTGGGGATCAAAGTGTCCTTCCATTTTTGTGCAAAAAGTAATCTTGCTGCCATCAACATATACAACATTAAAGTTCCAATTTTCCCCCCAAGTCTTTTCCCATTAAACTCAAAAGAAAAGTTTCTGGTTTTATCTTTCTATTCACTTAAGAATCTTCTGTATTAAAATATGAATTCTACTCCAATATTTCTTTGCTTTATCACATCTCCACCACAAATGATAAAAAGTCCCTTCTTTACCTTTGCATTTCCAACATTCATTTGAGGTACTTTTATACATTCTTGATAACTTATCTGGTGTTAAATACCAATGATACATCATCTTATAAAAAAATTCAAATTGTAATTTAGTGTGAATTTTAAACCTTTCATCCACATATTCTCCCATTGTTCAAGCTTTATATTATAGTCAAAGTTCCTTGCTCACTGAATCATACAGTGTTTTACACATTCACTTTCCAAATTCAAATTCAATAACGTTTTATAAACCTTAGCAATAATATGTTCATCACTACCACACAGTGGATTTTCAATTCGTTTTTAACAAAGTCAAACCCATAACTCTTTTTGTTTAACTTAAATCTTTTTTTCAATTGTAAATGCGTAAACCAATGCCAGACCTGTCCTTCTGCGTCTAGCTCTTCCTTAGGTTTGAGGATAGGATCACCAAGATTAAATGATATTATTTTACTATAGGTCCACCAGTCTGGCTTCACCACCATTGTTTTCTAAAAAAAAGCTTCCTGAGGGGACACCCAAAGAGGCATCTTCATAGAAATCCTTGTTTTATATTTATTCCAGACTCTTAGAATGGCATATCTAACAAAGTGGTTGTTAAAATCAACATTTACTTTCCTACTTTCCCTTCTTTTCTGCACTCTTCCCTTCCCCTTCCCCTTTCCCTCCCCTACCTTTCCCACTATTTGTTTTTGTATTTTTTTTATTTTATACTATAAACAAATATGAAAAGAGCAATGAAAAGGGCTATGAGTCAAGGTATGGGTGAAAAAGGTCTTCAACCTCTCAATTATAAGTGAAACAATTCTGACTAACAGCAGTTTTGGGAATTGGCTATTTGGGGCAGGATTACAGTATGGAGATTTATGTCCTCTGGGCTGAGGCCACTGCTCAGATGCCTGTTTTTTTTCCTTTTGCAATTGTTTTTAGAAGACAAACAAATACCAGAAAATATAAATAATGGATTTTTCTACTTAAGGTTCTTTCTGGCCTGCAGATCTTCCGCTTTTCTATAAACCCTTTCTCTAAGCTATGTGATCAGAAGAACTGTTTCCTTATTGTTTTCCTGTTATAAAGAAAGAGTGCTGAACTTACCTTATGTTTGCTTGTTTTGTATCACCCCTCTTCCAGAACTCCCCATTGCTGGTCCCGCTATAGTAGTCTTGCTGTTTGGCAAAACCATCCACACGCATGTAGGGAAGGGCTAGAGTCTCAGCAGTAGTTGTCCTTCCCCTATTGCTAGCTCTCCTACTTCTCTTCCTTTTATAAATTGTTTTGGATTGGTGGGGGGATTTTTTTTGGTTGATCCTGAAAGCTTAGTTGTGCAGTTCGATTTCTGTGCAGGCTAACCTTAGTAGTGCAGAGCTCTTAAAAATATAAGTTTGCCCTTTGTCCTTCTGATGTATGAATTTGTACTGTAGTTATGTTTCAACCAGTTCAAATAAATCTTCAATAAAAAAAAACCTCTCCCTCCAAATCCTTCATTTATAAAGGAAGAGGAAAAGCCTATTCTTTCTTCCTTCAACTCAGTTATCTTGGGTTTTTTTTAATTAAAAGGAAAACAACCACAAAGTTTTTAAGAGCTCTGAATAAAATTGCTTTGCCAATGGGGCAGTGGGAAGGAATGACTTATTTTTCTTGTGCCCGGCAGCAAAAGGGTTAATGCTTGCTTTCCTCTTTGATATCCATTAGTTTGGAACCCATGTTGTGATTGGTCCATGTCCATGTCTGTTTTGTTCCTGAACTGTATGACCTTGATTCAAAGAATCATTCAAAATACAGCCTACTAAGCAGAGGTGTTTCCTATTCCTCCAGGTCACCCAACGTGCTTGCAGTTCACAGCAAATATGACAGAGGCTGTCAAAACCTATCAGTGGCAATGCATCGAATGCAAATCCTGTAGCCTCTGTGGGACTTCTGAGAATGATGTAAGCTTGTCTTTGTTATCAATATCTAAATTAGCCATTTGTAATAATGAGTTGCAAACTAATGTACGGGATCTCCAGGGTTCGTTCATTGAGCTCAAGACATACAAGCAGCAGAAGGGAGCCCTTTTTGTAAATCCTACATGCACACTCAGTTATACTTGCCCATCTTTTTTTCTTCTGTCCCCTTCAAAATTGCTTCCTAGTTCTCACTTTGGATTACTTAAGAGTACAAAATGGTAGCCTGTCTGTTTTGTGGTAATACGCAGTCCGGTCCATGTAGATTGAATCTTAGCAGCTAAGAAAACAATTCATCTTTTAAGAGCAATACTTCCTCTTCCAGAAGGACTCTGCTGGTTCAAATGATATGACTCAAAGGCCTTTATTAGATATTATTTGCCCTAGTCATGCCAATTTTAGTACAGAGTTTGCAATGAGCTGAGCAAATTTGAAGAGGTGCTGTTCCATCAATATATTAAGAGGAAAAGTCTCAATCCTATTCAGAGGTTGTCTCTTTTCAAATCCTGCAAATGCCTATCTAATGGGAATTGCATCCAGTCAATTCTGGAGCTTAGGGCTGTGATGGATGTCAATCAATGGTAGGCTATTATAAAATGATGGTGACTTTTGCTCTAGAGTATATTGGATTTGAACAGTGATGACCGATAGAATCTAAAGTAAAAGAAAGGACCTTTAGAGAAACTATGCAATTTTGATGCATTATCTAAAAGAAACTTTTCCTAATTGACATGTACATGTAGTTCTGGGTGTCCTATGTAGCAATAAGCACATGAAGAGATTGGAAGAAATAATCTCTCAGCATGGAGTGAGATATCACCAATATGCCAGTGATATCCAGTTGTATATCTTTACTTTGGGCTGAGCAGCAAATGCTGCAGAGGTCCCTGGAGGCAGTCTGAATCTAGATGGGAAAACTAGGATCTGGCCTAATCCCAACAAGATGGAGTGACTGTGGATTCCAGAGATAGTCCATCATTATTTCTAGAAGAGGTTGCACTCTCCCAGACAGAGTTGATGTGCAATTTAAAAGTCCCAGCAAACTCTACAACAATGGTCAAAATGGCCTTCGCATAATTATATATGTGTGCCAGCCGTGATACTTCATGGAACAGGAAGCTTGATTTATTCAGAGCACCTCTTGAAGAGCATTTGGAAGTTGGTTCTACGAGCAGAGGTCTGTGCAGTTACAGTATGTGCAAACCAAATTTTGCTCATATAAAAATACTATTAAGGAAGCTGTATTAGCTGCCAGTTAGTTGGGGTGCAATTCAAGGTAATAGTTGTCAACTGTAAAACACTGTGTGACTCAGGATTTGAGTTGAATCTGCCCATCTGGTGATATCAGAGAGGGAAAACTCTCCATCAAGGGAATGTCATTTGCTATTACTTCTTCTGGATGGGCCAGAGTATTCCTTCTTTGGAATAGCCTCCCCTTGGATATTTGTCCCACACACTTCTTATTCTGACTTGTTCAGAAAAATGTATCTCTTCTAGAAGGCATTTGAGAACGATAAGGAAGATCTTAATATCCCCATAGCATAAGAATATTCTGTAACATTTCCTCCCTAATTCCTACTTGCACTGTTGTTGGCCACTCAGATTCAGATTAACCTCTCTAAATGAGTTTTTTTTCCTATTTCAAATGCATATTGCAATGTGCAAGTTAGTTAGATTGCA